TGGGGCACACAGATAACAATCCCCAGAACACAGGCAGCTGAGAAACAATCCATGAGGCACTCTGTTGGACCCGAGCCTTAAAAACATGGAAAGACTCTCTGAGGATGTGAAGATCTGCCCTGACTGCAGTGATCATGAGATGGTGAGTTCAGGAGAAGGGTGAACCAAGGATCACGACACTGGACTTGAGGGAAGATGCCTTTGGCCTCTTTGGGATCTGCCTGGGACATGGGACACAACCCTAGAGAGAAGGCTCCAAAAGAGCTGGTTCCTGCTCAGGGATTATTCCCTCCAAACTCAAGAATTGTCTATAGGGACCAGCAGGAGGTCAAGTGCAGTCAGCAAGAGTTCTGCATAGAGGAAAATCATTAAATTCTGACAAAAAAGGGAAGTGAAAGCACTAACTACAAAAACAAGGAGACAGACACAACCAAATATGCATCCTGGTTTATGTGAATTTGTGTGATATGGGTCAAATATATAAAAACTTCAAAAGCAACAAGAATTATTAATCAAAATAAAAATAAAGTCATACCTCAGAGTTAAGAGGGAACAAACTGGCCCAAAATCTCAGGTTTACCATTTCCTATCTTTATATAACTGCATTTCAAGACTTTTCCTCATAATTTGAAATTGTGTAATTTAAATGTGACATTTGCACAAGTACTGAAATCAAAAATTTCCCAAAACATCAACAGCTATGGAAATACATAAATGAAACAAGATCTAGCACCAGCAATGCTGGAATTTAGGTTATTGCTACTTTAATCCCAGCTAGGTGTTATAGACAGCTGGGGTGGTGGTGGAGTGCTGAGACCCTGCACCTCTCAGCTGCTATAGTGAATTCACCTTTAGCCTTTAAAAAGGCTGAGTGAAATTCAGCTCTCACAGAAGAAAGACAGAGCTTCATATCTCATCTCTTTGAAGGCTTTCATTCAGCTCTCTGCCCCAAGAAATGTCTGTACTAATGCTACCAGGCTTACAGAAATCTGACCTTTTATCTCCTGCAGGTCAGGGCGTGTTAAAGGGAAGAACCAATAAGAAACACAGAATTAACATGAGCTGAATAGGATGCTGGACAGGTAGCTTTTTGCTTCACCACAGCTGAGAAGGTGGCCAGCTAAGGCTTCTCCCCTAAAGAGAGTGGTGAACTGTATCCTAAATAGTTTCTTCCCTCCAAGGAAGGATGGGTGTATTGTTGGCTGGTTCACTATCCCCCACAAGGTGTTACTGCATGACCTAGTGAATTTCCTTTGAATCATTCTGTACTGTTCTGTTAATGTTTTCCTCAGAATAATCTTCCTCTCCTGCCTTTCTGAAACACCACTCAAACAAGAAGCCTATCCGACCCACTTTCTGACACACAAAAATGTTATGTAAAGTGAAGTCACACTACCAACCAATTGATTTCCAATTCATTGCAAAAACAGTAATATTGCTACACAAAATAAGCATATAAAGTCCCTTTTAAAATAAATTTTAAGATGTTCCCTAAAGAAAGGTGGAACAGAAACAAAGGTTTACAAAAGAAAAAAAAATTGATTTCATAACAACTATAGATTTGTAAAGTTGGAAGAAGTCTGTATGCAAGAGATAAAAAAGAAGGTTTTTTTTAAAAAAGAAGGGTCACACCACAGCAACAATATTGTTCTTTAGAAAAACAGCCTGCTTAGCTTCCAGAAAGGAATGATGATGGGGAAAAATGTGTATAAACACAACTAGAATTTTCCAGTGGCAATGCAGCACTTCTTCAAATGTGACTGTGTAGTAAATCAAACAAATAGCAGAGAAGAGTATGAATCACTTCTCAGTGAATCACCAAAACCAGTTGTCTGTAGATAGACCAAACATCAGGGGCCTTATCAGCTAAACAATCTTTCTGAGAACTGCTTTCCCTTCTCAAATTAAGTATTCCATCAATGATTTGTGAACAGGAGAACATCACCTACTCAACAGGAATGTTAATTTTGCTATTGATGGTTTTCGCTGTATTACAAATTGGGAGTTTTGTAGTTTCAAAATGCAACCTTTGCTTGTTTCTACAACATACTGTAATGTGGCTACAGCAAAATTTTAGATTTCTAGGATTAAGTGGCCACTAAGTCTGCATTATCTTCAAAACCTTGTATGACTTACTGGCACCAAATGACTTAAAAATATGTAGCAACTCACACCTAAGGAAGAACTGAAGTTTTAAAAGTTGAGATGAATATATATACTCAGATCAAAAAAAGGGAAAGATGTAAAACTGACATACCAGGCAAGAAAATATAAAAATCAGACATACATTTGCACCTGTTTCTCTCCTGTCTAAAATAAGCAAGGAATTAAAAGGCTAAGATTGCAACTTTATGGTTCCAACACTGCACACAAGTCAAAACCCCTAAAATTACACTACCCACAGCAATTTTAACTCAGTTCCAATTTGCAAGTAAAGAAGGTAGAAATATATTATGTTATTCTGCCTCTTAAATAGTACAAACACTGAAGCAGGGAAGTGGGAATCATAACTCTAATTTTATTTTCTAATTTTATTAGCTTATATGAATTCATATTAGCTTACATGAACTAATGGTCTTCAAAGAGACCATTGCATTAAATATCCAAACAACTCTATGATACTAGTTAATACCAATTTGTTTATTCTGTTTTTGAACTCACTGCTGCCCCTTCACTGTCTCTGGTTGTTGCACTTACATACAGAAATAATGTTAAGAATGTGAAAATACTATATGGTCTTCTCAATGTTGATTTTTTTCAAAGCTCATTTTGTTTAGATGAAACATAAAACTTTTTACCTTTTGGTTTTACACAATGATAAATGTGGCAATACTCTATTGTCACCCACTGGTTAAATGTTAACACTATACCAAAGATTTGGAATTCTGCCTCCCATGCTTAGGAATAGTGATTATCACTACCCTTCAATTCTTCAGTTTTCAGAACTACCAAATTCAGTTTAAAAGTTTTTCACACCTATCATGAAGAAAGTTTGTGATTAGTCCAGAACAAAACTTGCTTCATTAGAATGGTAACCCAGCTCAGTGAAAGTATTTTTATGTTCCTACCTTGCCTTTCAAAGTTATTATTTTTCTATATCAAAAAACCTAAAGCATATTTTATTGATGCAATTTTGTGAGAATGAAACTGTGATAACATAACTGTTACCCTTGACTGAGGCAGAAACCAACAGGAAAAGACGTAAAGAAAAATAAGATTACTGACTTAGTTGACAAAGATCAATGAAATCTTTCATAACTAAGCACAGTAGTTCCTTCAAAAAAGAAAAGGGTCTTATCTAAATATCACCTTCTTAAAAATCTGATTAACTGACTGTTTTTGTTGTATCTAGAGCAGCTTTTGAGAATTTCCTGTCACAAGTGCCAGAAGCAAGTTAATTGGTAAATATAAAGGTGTATGAAACAGTGTGTGTTCATGTAAAAGGCAATTCAAAAAGTCTCCTGAGGCATTGGTTTTATACTTTTTACTTGAACATTAACACAGCAAATTCATTTTAAAGGAATTAAGTCAATGCACACCTACAGCTTTGGATGCTGGCATCAGTACCATTGGAAACGTCATCCTGAGAGTCTGTGCCAGAGGCACCACTGCAGTCTGCTTTAAAGCTTTTCAGGTCAACATCACTAATAACCAGCTGCTTCTACTGGAAAAGGCAGAGCCGGTGGGACAGACATCTGTCCTTGGGAGTTGCTAGCTCTGCTCAGTGTGTGGCCACAGGTGGTGACCCTCGTGTTGCAGGAGTCAGAAAAAAAAGACAAAAGAAAATAAAAGCTGTAATAACAGAAGGTATCCACAATTCAAGTCTCATGAAAGTAACTTTAAAAGGCAGCTCTTAGAAGCATGACTCACTTTCTTTCTCTGGTTTGATTCTGGCTGTACCCAGAAGACAACAAGAGGAAGCACTTGAGCATTTCTACACAGTAAGTTAAAGGTTATGACTCTTTTATTGCCATTTTTAAAAGCTGCAGTACCTGACTAAAAGAGTTATGATACAGACTGATAGTTGCAAACCGCAGTAGCATTTCTACTATTCAAAATAACAGTGTTCTTCAAGTAGAAGTAAGTATTAACAACATAAAATCTACCCATTCTATTGTTTAGGATAACCAATAACTTTAACCACTATGGTACACCATAATTCATGAGGGTTTCAAGTTAAACATCCTTTTATATCATGGTTAAGCAAACATTTCTTTCATTGAGTAAAGCGTTACACACAAAAAAGGAAAAAGAACAGTATTAGATAATTATATTACTGTAAATTCCAGAATATACTGCTGTCAGGAATTCAAAACAAATTATTACAGCAACCCTTTAAGTACAAATGGGAAACAATGCAATCGCTATTAAACACCAGCCAGAGCAGCAAAAAAATTAAGTGAAGCTGAATTACAGACACAAACTTCTGAAATGCTAGGGAAAAAAAAGCTGCTTGCTTTGCTCTAACACTGGAAGATGACTGAAAACTTCAGTGAGAATTTTGTCTAGGATGTGAAACTTTACACATGTATTTAATGGAAGATGTTAACTTTTACAATGGAAACAATTCTAATTCCATTGTCTATCATCTAATTACACTACAGATTTTTATTATGTTGCATGAATAATTCCATATTGAAGTTAGGTAAGACAGAACAAACAATTGGCCATAGCACTCTAGAACATACTAAGTTATGCTGCTTAACACAACTACTGAGAAAAGTGGTTTTCTTCTCTTCTGTTTTATGATGTAGACCCTAAAAAGGAAGAGTGATCTGAGTTACAAAAATGTGGTTAGGCAAGGGGGATATTAAACTAACATTCCTGCTAATGTAAAATATCAGGCTCTGAAATTCTGAATTTTTCTCTGAAAAGAAATTCTTTAAATTCAAAAGGCTTTGGAGCAGGCCCACAGATGCCTAAAAGAATATTTGTTGGATATAAATATACTCTACACAAAACCCTCCTGAAAAACAAAGATAGAACAGGAAAGAAATTACCTGGAGTGTCTTGTAATGATCTTGATGTGGAAGCACTTCTTCTTTTTTTTCCTTCAAGAAATCCATTTCTAGCACACTATGTTTTTCCAGCAAATATTCCAATTCCTATAAAGTTTGTAAAATATAACACATGAAATTACAAACATTTCTGAATTGTGAAAATACAGATTCATTCAACCATTCAAAATAATTTAATTTCTGGTAACTGTAGTATTTGCTGTCTTAATTATCACAGAGATAAAGGGTTGTGCAAGAAAATTCTGACTGCAGTCTTTAAACTGAGACAGTATTTTTAAGAGTGAGGTATTTAAAATCCAAGGCATGTCCCATGTTTAAGGAATGACCTATAAGAAGTGGCCAAGCTGCCCTTAATAACATCCTCTAACTTCTTCTGAACCCTGAAGGGTTTAGGCAGCTGGACCAGTTGGTACAGGTCCCTTCCAACTGGAATTATTATATTTTATTCCAATTATTTTCATCTTTTTAATATCTTGCTCTTCCTTTCTGCTCTTGAAAAACAGCATATTAAATGTACTGCCAGCAAATATTTTCACTGAAAGACAGGAATCCTATGACATTTATGCATGTATAAAATGATCTCTACATCTCCAAAATGAATAAAATCTTAAAATATTCTGGGATCTTGCAGATAGCCACTCTGGAAGCCTGCACAACATGAACCAATAGAGAGAAAGAATAACACCACTGACAAACTTAAAAATTATTTGCTGTACAAAGAGCTAAAGATTTTTATTTTTCCTTAATGCAGTCATTTCTACTGTACATGAGCTGCTGGCACCCTTTCAGTTGCTCAAGAGCAATTATTTCTCCAAGCCATGCAGGAAACTAGTATAGAAACAAATGACCTCCCAGGTCACTGCACAGCTATTCAAACAAAGTTATTCAAACTGAGAGGGTCATGAGGAGGACAGAAAGAGCAGGTCTGCTTAGTTCAACCCTGCTTTTGGACAAAATAGTCAAAACAGTTTGAGAGATTCCAATGGTGAGATAGAAACAGATTGTGGAACATCAATCCAAAGCCTCTTTCTCCACCTGCCTCCTCTTCTGTATTCCTGCTTCCCTTCCAAACTTTCCTTCATACACTTAGCAAAACCAGCCCATTGCAGACCTCCTCATCCTTGGCTCCAGTTATTCACCCTCATTTTCATTTCCGACAGCCGTTTGCTCCGTCCCCAGCACAACTTGAGGCCTCCCAAGAAAGAGTATTAAGAATAACAGAAGTTAAACTCACTCTCCCATGCCTCAGTGACCTTTTGCTAACTCAGATGTGTAACTACAGGCACAGCTTGGTGCTCTTATTGTATTCAGATCAGAAGGAATATGAAGAATTTAGCTACTAGGGCTCCCACCCCCAAAAAAATCAAAACAAAGCTCATGCTGAGAAAGATTGTATATTTTTTTTTTTCCTTTTTTTTTTATCAGTTAGGCTAAAAAAGTGGTTATTTTTCCCTGGCACTTCAGAAAACTTCAGCCTAAAATAAGACACCAGACATAAAAAAAGAAGTATTTCAGCTACACTGAGTGGTGTGCCCAGTTCTGGCCAGTCTCTGGAGAGTATCTAGAAAACAGAGATGGGGAAGGGTTTGGAGCACAAATCAGATGAGAAAAGGCTGAGGGAGCAGCGGAAAATAACAGAGGTTCAAGGGGACCTTATCTCTTGTAGGCAGGTGGGGGTCAGGCTCTGCTCCCAGGGAACAAGGGACAGGACAAGAGGAAATAGCCGGAAGTTGTGCCAGGGGAGGTTCAGGTTGGACATCAGGAAGAATTTCTTCCTGGAAAGGGGAGTCAGGCATTGGCAGGGGCTGCCCAGGGAGATGCTGGAGTTCTCAACCCTGGAGGGATCCAAGGAATGCCTGGATGTGGGACTCAGTGCTCTGTGCTAGTGACAAGGTGGGGATCATTCACAGGTTGAACTCAATCTTCAAAGTCTTTTCCAACATCAATGATTTTATAATTCTAAATTTGGCCAGTTTCTGTGGAACTTGGCAAACTTCCACGAAAAAATGAATTTCAAATGAATTTTAAACCTTTTCCAGCTCCACCTATATTTAATTCCTATATAAATGCTAAGTGTTTTCCTTCAAAAAGACTATTCATACCTGTTTGATTTTTAGTTTTTCTTCCTCAGCACTGCAAAGTTTGATTTTGAGGTTTGCAACCGCTTGTTGAAGGCAGCTCTTAGGTTCATTTGTTCTCTTCATCTCAACATCAGCTAAAGTCTTGTCTTCAATTACATTTGAAGAGGCAACTGGAATATCTGCTTGAATCTAATTCATAGGAGAAAAGTGGAACTGAATCGTCTCTCTCAATGCATCAGGGAAACAAACTCTCCTTGGATTAGTCATTCTATGTTTTCACTCAGTGCACACTGCTAACAGTGGTCACAGAAAGGGCGTACAGAGGGTTTGTGCTAAAAGAAATATCTCATCCTTAGGCTCGACTAACAAAATAAAAGTAATTCAGACATCTCTATAACATTTAGTTACTGCTGTTTCAGTAGACTGGAGAAGAACAGGAAACAGGGGAAACACTGATGGATAAGCCCACACTTTCAGAAAAGAACACAAATAAATTAGGCGATGTTTAAAACATTCTGTGGTAAAATTGGCAAAAGTCAAAGCTTTATTTCTCCCCTCTTAAAAAAATATTTTTTTTTATTTAAAAGGAAGGGTCAAATAATTGTTCATTTTGCAGCAAAGAACTCCAAGGAAAAAGCTGAAAAATTAATTCAGCTGCCAGTTTTTAAACAATCTGAAAGCCACACACACTTGAGATTTGGATGGTGAAAGAAACATTAAAGAGAGGTTTGACTGATCTGACCTAATCCTCCCCCCTAGGACCTTTTATTCCAAAATTATACTCAGGTAATTCATTGACTTTCCAATAAATATCTCTCAAAGGACTCAAAGTAACAAACAAAACTAACTGAGATCTTGACTGTACATGAATATCTAAGATACAGCAGACAAAACAGGCAGAGAGAAAACTGCAGTTTGTGCTCTGAATTCTCCTGTAAGAAGCAAAGAGAAGCCATATGTGTCAGTTCCATTTCTGAGTACTATTCAAGATTAGTCTTGCACCACCAAAACCTGTGAGTATGGAACATGCATACAACATATAATAGCAAAGGATTTTTTAATATGAAATCTCAGAAGGCTCTAGACATAGAATTATAAAAGAATACACTTCTAGCATTATGCTCTAATAGGTATAAGAATATTTTATTTTAGTTTTCTGCCCACCATTTTCCTTTAATTTATTCCTTAGTGCCAAGTCAACTCCATTTCAAAATAATGGTAAAGAATCTGCTCTCAACTCTCTTCAGCAGGACTTGCTAATAACGTTCTTTAATTTGTACTATTTTTTGCATTATGGAGAATTTATGGAATGACAGGGTCTGTCAGTAGCTGAACAGAACAAGATGAGAAAAACTGAAACATGGACTAGAACTAGAATTTGCACATGCATTTAGTCTGAAGTAACAAAGTGTATTTCTTATTTTTCTGTAAGATTACCTAATGATTTTATAAATGATTTATAAATGATTTTATAGTTTTAAAAAGTACCCCTAAGCCTTAGTGTTCTGGAATAACCCAAGTGCTCTTTCCAGAGAATACAAAAGCTAAAATTGCTGGCCTAGCTCAAACAAGAAAGGTCAGAAGTTATTCACTGTTAGCCAAAATGAAAAAAAGCAAGGATCTGTGGTGGCTGAAGAAAATCACTTTTTGATCATCCTGCCAGTAAAGGAAATTTACTTATCAAAACTTTGTCAAAAAGTCAGATGAAGAGCCTTCAACACAGAAAATTACCCTGGATGACTCAGTCAAAAAAAGAAAACAAACACTCCTCCCTCTCAAGAAAAAAAACCAAAAAAAAAACCCACCTAATTTTTGGATTTATAAATTTCTTTGATATCATTTGCATCTGGGCACATCTCTTCTTCACTTTTTACAGGCTTTCCTCAGAACATTAGTCTGGGAGCAAACACAAAATAGTAACTCATTCATTCATTCATTCATTCATTCACAATTGGTGCCACAGTCTTTCTGGAACTGTGAACATATAGATGCTCCTCAAAGGAATAGAGTAAGACTCAAAAGCAAAACCTGTATTTTGTGCATGTTGTTTAAACAGTTCTAAAGATAAGCTTTTAAATCATCAGAAAATGAAGATCTGACTTAATCATGAAATTCAGCGTTCACCAGGCACAGCTGTAAGACTTGATAAGCCTACCTGAAGAATAAGAAACCAAGGAAGTGCTGAAAACAGGAGAGTTGGCAATTACAAAGAACATTTTTTTACAGTTTTTACAACCAAAACACTGATTGGTTCATAGTGAGGCAAGAACATTTTCTAAATCAAATATATACTACTCCACATCCCAAAACAAGTAAGTTTACAATGAATTAACATATTCAAATGGGGATCACTGCAATTAATGGCAAAAAAACCTCAGAAGGGTAAATCTATTTAAGACTCATCTGCAGCAGCTCTTGTGATTCTGATAAAATTCTTGTGATAATCTCCAGGCAGAAAGGCTTTTCCCTTCCTTGCTCACCTAGTTGTAAACTAAACATTTTCACACCCCAGAAAGAAACAAAGATCAGCTCTCAGCAGCACTGCAGCCACAGGTCCCACAACTAGGACTGTCTCAGACCACCAAAAAAACCAAACCAAACCAAACCAAACCAAACCAAACCAAACCAAACCAAACCAAACCAAACCAAACCCCCAACCTTAAATGTAATGGGGAAAAAATAAAGTGAAACAAAATAAAATGCAACCCCCCTAAAATTAATTTGATTATAATTAAGTAAAGATTAAATGCTAATTCTGTAATCATAGAATGGTTTGGGTTGGAAGGGACTTGAAGAGCATCTCATGCCAACACCCTAACAGGGGCAGAACACCTTCCACTAAACAGGTTGCTCAATACCTCAACCTTGAAAATCCTAAAAACCGAGCCCTAAAACCACTTTGGGAAAACATAAGACATATAACTACAGTTGTAATCTTTTCAGCTTTAACAGTAGCCAGTTGAGAGAACCTTTCTACTGATGTTTCTATTGGTGTTGCATACTCATCACCATCAGCATGCCTTTAATATCTCTAACACAGTAATCTCTCTTGCAGTTCATACCACAGCAGTATGGTTTCTCTCAGTTACAGGCTCCATAAATACTTTTTAAATAATTGCTTCAAAGCCTACATCACAGAAATCCAAGGACCATTTTCTCTTAAAACGCATTTCAATCTAAATGTGTAGAGGAAAGATGCGACACTGATGTTTAATATATTGAGTTCCTGCACTGAAGCTCAAAAATAGTGGGTTTACCTGTTCTTCAGGAACAGCTGGATTTATCATACTCTTGCCTGTTTGAATAGATGTTGCCACATTATCACTTGATAAAATGAAGGAGTCAGAAGGAACCAGGCAGGAAGAAGGCACAGAGTACTCCAGGAGAATATCAGGAGATCTATGGACTTCAGGCACTAGAAACAGAAAACACACATAATATGAAGAACCACCCAAAAATTAGTTGTTTCTGCAATCCATGACTAGTAAAATCCATCAAAAGTCTAGTCATACCAACATAAGGGTACGTATTTCTTATAATCCAATTGCACTCTAGAGTAATTCCACACAGTGCCTGTGGTTTTCAGTAGTATCAACTTAAGGACATTCAAAATTGTAGTTACAATAAATTTAGACTTTTAATTTCCACAGAGGTTTTACAAGGCAACAGCTCTCAAACGACCACTTGTAACTCTGTTTCTTTAGATTCAGACAGCCCTTCAGCTTCAGCATGATCTTGAATCAGTTTCAGTTAATGGAAAAAGTATATTTAATAATTTCTCAAGCTTTATACATTTTAAACTTAAAAAAATCCACAACTGTCTTAGAAGCCATATACAAACACCTTGCCAAGACACATGATAAAACAGCTTTATATTTTATAAGAGCTAAAAAGACAACAAAGTAAATAACTCTCTAGCTAATAAAATTTAAGTGGCATTAACACTGGACTGAGAGCTCTTCCATACCAAGTTCCAGTTATGCCATAAAACCCCTAAACAGTGGATCAGCATTACCAACCTGGCACAACAGTAAATCTTGTTTTTAAAAAAAGACGTAAACTAAACAAACTAAATAAAAAGAAGGAAAAAGAGAAAGTTTTGCCTACATTTTAAATTTAATATTAAAGTCCTGCAAACTTTGACATGGTCAGCTCTGAGTGTGTCTTTGCAATAGGCAAAAAAAGCACATCCAATTGTTTCAGAAAACGCAGCTCCCAATATTATTACAACTCTGGCAACATGTAAAAGATGCCACTAGCCTGGAGCAAGGCTCAGCCTCTGGATATCACTGTTAAATACTGCAAAAGTACTCAGCACAAAACAGTGTGTAAAATTGGCCTCAAGGCATTCAAAAGGACACACTAATTCTTGAATCCAGGCACTCTCTGTCCCATCTTCTTCAGCTCCCAGTTCTAGGACTCAGGTATAACACAGAGGAACGTACAAACCTCATCAAATGATAAGAAGAAAGAAAACAGACCATAAGGGAGAAAAGTATCAGTAGGGTAACTGCAACGATAGAAGATTTGGATGTGGCCAAAAAAATAGGAAAAAAAAAAATAATCACAGCTCAGCAAAAGATGGAAAGTTGGCTGAAAAGCCTAGAGGAGAGTACTTCAGCCAACAGAACAGGAACCAGTTTAGGTAACTGCATTTTAATAGTTAACTCTTCTCCAGAACCACAAACAAGTTTTGGCTTTCTTTTATGTATCTTAAGATAAAACTCCCATTCCAAGTGTCTGCTTTCAAAGGCAGCTTCCTATAAAAATAACCTACTCTGCTAGTTCAAGTGGCAGTGAAGTACATAGAAGATGATATTTTTGTAACACACATTAAAGTCTCAGCTTTACGCTATCACTTAACGCCCTGAGTCTCAGTTTTAAATCAATTTCCATCTGAAGGAAAAAACAACTAAAATAATGTATCAGGCAATTTCTGACTGAGCAGGCAAGTGGTTCTCTTACTAAAACTGTCAACTCACATGGAAAAACTGAGCATGATCCTTGTGATGAAAATGTTCAGCCTTTGGTGCTATTACCATAGCACAGGCATAGTTCACATATAAATAATTTATCTCAAAAAACAGCCACAGAGACTGGGTGTTGTGGTTTAAGAAAGTCTGGTTTTAAGTTAGGTGCAAGCTCCCCGGCTGTAGGGTGGTTACACTGGGAGCAGCCAATCATTAGGCTCATTTTGAAGAGCCAATCAGCTGCCTAGTTTGGAAGACTGACACCCAGTTAAACCACTCAAAAGAGCTAGCTACGCCTCCAAGGAAAAGCACATTTAAAGATTAACAGAGTCCGGGAAAACTCTCTTGGCTTCCGGTCCTTGAACAGGTTGGCTTGGGCCAGGTGGGCATGGCCAGGTTGGCGCGCTGCCTGGCTGGGATTTCTGCCACCGCTGGGCAGTGCCGCAAGGACTGCCCCAGGGCAGTGGGTGACTGCACAGCTGGGACTGCTCAGCTGAGGTTGGCGCGGCTGGGGTGCACGGCCCAGGCAGCGCAGCATGACTGAGGCTATTTCAGCATGGCTCGCAAAATGAACTTTGCTTACACCGAGGCCAGGAGCAGCCATAAGGCCACCACCATCCCGGGGCCAGGAGCGGCCATGTGGCTGGGGCCCCATGGCTGGGATTGGAGCAGCTGAAGCAGTGCTGCGTGGGTACAGGTATCTTGGCATGACTCATAATGGGCTTTGTTTGCTTAGCTGCTTTTAGCTGGCTATGCTGCGGACTGAAGAACAAAAGCAGCGGCAACAGTTTTTGGGTGTTTTTCCTCTTTTTCCCGGTGCTCTGCATGAAGGAAACGGATGGGGTAGTGCTGGCGGCCAGCACAGCTTGCACAGTGTCGGCAGAGACCACATGATCAACAGCGACAGGCACGGGGAGCGATCTCCCCGATGCAGAGCCTGGATCAGATCAACCCTTCAGCACTGCAGAACTCCATAAAAAACTTTCAACTGATAAAGCTTAAGAAGAAATAAACCTATGGATACCAATTCTCTCCAAATCAGAAGAAGGAAAGGGGGAAGACACATAGAGAAAACATGGGACTCTGAAGTCAGTAAAGAAGGAGTCAAATTCTAGATGGGAGGGGATTGAGGAGATGCCTTAGTCTTAGGCTGAAATTATTTTTGTAAGGCTTTGGAGAAGATATAATTGATACATCAGACTCTTTTTTTCCCCTGTAACTCACGAAATGCATTGGGGGAATGTAGCATTCTAACCACAGCCATGAACAGAGGCACCAGTGCTGAAATAAGCAGATATTGAAGTAATTTTGATCCAATGATAAATTTGAACAGAGAGAAATGAGAGAGATGAGAAAACTTGCCCCAGGAATATAAGAAGAAAACCTGTTCTCAGAGATAGATTAAAAGAACTTTTGGTTTTGTGCTGGAACAGCTCATCTTTAACAGCACCACAATAAGTTGACATGGTCCAGGAATGCAGCTGTGGGAAGGCTGTCAAAGATGGGAGGAACTTCAGGATTGCAGATTTCCAGGCAGCTGCTATTCATAGAAATTAAAAACCACAAGAGAACTGTTTCTGTGGAGAAGTCTCCATGGCATGGCAAGAGAGACTCCTCTCCCTAAATGGACTGAAGACTATTCTAGAGGTGGTAAACTGACAAAGTCCCAGGTTTTGTCTCTTAACTTTGTCAGTGGAAAAGAAAAGAGGGTGTGGGGGGAGGAGAAGTGATCTGAAGGTTTTATTCTAATTTTTCTTATTATTTTTCTTTTATTCTGTTAATAAAGTTTTCTTTGTACCCTTTTAAAGTTTGTGCCTGTTTTAACCTCCTTCTCCTTATTCGTATCTCACAGCACAAAAATGAGTAAATATATTCTAGTAGGTGCAATGGCGTTTAGCCAGCACTAGACCTACTACACTGGGCACATATGAGGAATGTACACTTGCTGAGATTAGAGCTTTAGGTATTCACGTATTTTGGGGTGTCCAATCCTAGAGAGAAAACTCCATTTTTCAGGAGTTTTACATGGAATCTTCTATAATCCGGTGGAGCTTTCAGTAGTTCTAATTATATTAATGAATGCTTAGCATCTTAAAGAGGAAAAAAAAAAAAACCAAACCAGAAACAAAATCCCCACTCCTTAAGTTGTCAAAATGAAACCTAGGAAATGAGCAACAACTGGTGAGCACTTCTGAACATTGTAGTTTAAAATTTTCAACTAAACACATGACCTTGCAGATGACAAGAAAAGGTGGCAACTCTCCAAGGTATCATTCAAACATCTTTTTTACAAAGCCTTCTTTTTACTTTTCAGCAATGTTAAAGATTCATATATTAGACATTCCTAGAATTACATGTGCTTTGTCTGTAATTCAAGCTCTCTTAATTCATTCCTCTTGCACACATACTGGTGTAATTGCATTTTAGTTCAGCTCAGAATTCACTTATAAAGAGAACCCTTAATAATTCCTGCTTAGCATGCTTTAGTTACCCTAATGGAACAATTTCACACCCCCTGAAACAAAAACTCACCTCTGTTGAAACTATGTGACCTGACTCCCAACAGGCTAAATCTGATAGCCCTGAAGAATTTCCAAATAAATTTATTGTTCATTGATCAGAGCTGCAGCACTATAGGGAAAAGAAGCATGCACTCAATTATAGGTATATCAAAAAGTCATATACTGGAGAAGGCTGAAATAAGATGCAGATATAAGGTATTTCCAGAATTGTACTTAAATAGTATCTAATAATTTCTGAAGCCCTGGATTCCCAATATTAAGAATATTCTGTAATACGTTTGTATGTCAGAACCATGCAGTTTGTTAACAGAGGCAGAGATCAGGGACAGACTGCAATGTTGCTAATGCAAGGAAAATTCTGTGTCTTTATGCTGGTAATGAAGCTCAAACAATTATTAAAATTCCTTGGGGGATCAGAAATTCTGAAACCAAAACCAGGTGGATGAACATGAACTGTTAAATCAACATTCAATTGAGTCTTCTCCTTCATACTGAATTTCAGAATGAAGACATCAAATATCAGATGTATCACATGGGTAATATTTACTATGTGGATGTTACTTATATCCAGCAATTAAGATGTCATTTATGGTATTAATTATATATACAAATTAATATGTGAGCAGAGCTCTGAGCAAAAGACCATATGATAATTATTTGACATACTTCTGTAGATTGTTGCAAACTACTTGTAGCACAGTTCCCCTACATGTAGGTTTCAGCTGTTAAAAATAAAAAACCCAAGAAACAAAACTAAATTTCCTTCCTCACCTCCCCTTGTGATATTACAATTGTCTTGATATTACAATTCAAGAACACTTTCAATTATACTGTATACACTGAAAACTCTATCCCTGAACATTTTCAGTTTAAAGTAACGTCCAAGTAGAAAGTTTGAATTTAAAACTGGTTTTGTGTCCACAGATGGAAAAAACACCCTGATGCACTCTCAGGATGATTTCTGATAACTCACAGCACAAAGCTCTTTTCCATATTTTATTCTTCCAAAGCCAAACTATTCTAGAAGAAAAGTAATTACATCTACTATCCTAGCATTCTAAATCTACAGCCACATGGTCCATACTATCAAAAAGACAGTAAGAAGCTGAAGACCAGTTTCAAGGGCAAAATTGCACTGAAATCACCAAGACCTTAGAAATAATTTCTGAATTCTGCCTGCACAGTAAAAAAATATGGCCACAGGTTTCAGTGTTTTGTTTCATAACTTCCAAACATCAGATATGTAGGGAATTCACAAGATGAGTAACTCCTCCTCTGGAAAGTTCATCAAATCTTGGGTGTATGCAATGGTATCACCCCCCAAATTTATCAAAATCAACTCAATAGCATCATAATACATATGAATTTTTCAGCAAGCCTTACTAAGAAATTTCTAAGGTAAGACAAGAACATCTCTATATATAAGATAACATTGGGCAGACAATTCAGTTATTTCTATTATGTAAAACATCAATCTGCAAGTCAGTGCCGAAGAAACGCCTGACCAATCCTATTAAAACCTTGCCTATTGCAATAAACTAATTTATGCACAGCCAGATGTGCATGAAAAAGTCACAGACAGATTTTACAGTAACAAAATAACCAGAAGAGAGGAGTTTTCTTTTAATTTTGAAATGCTTAAAACACCTTGGTATAATATACCTTGGCCTAGGATTTCTCTGTCACTTAAAATCATACAAAAAACTTCTGTGTTATGTACGAATAATTTCAATTCTACACACTTTACAGGATTTTAATTGAGCCCACTGACAGAAACTGCACAGCTATATTTGATTTAATTTATTAAACACATTAAGACATCTACTGAACTTAAGGAGTAATTTTAAGCATCAGTCAAAATGACAAGAAGAATAATGAAATTACTTGGAGAAATAGCCTTTCCTTAGTATTTGTTTTCCTCTGTTTCAATGACAAATAAAACTAATTACTTTGTAATAGATGAAAGCCAAAAATAAATTAATAAAAACATTTTAAGAACATGATTTATAAAGAGCTCATGTTGAGAAAAGTCCCTGCCTTATTTTGCATAATTTATTCTGCACAATACAATGTGGGTTGTTGGTTATTTTTTTCCCCTGGTGCTGCAAAAGTGATGTTTGATTTTGTGAAAAGAGTGAAATCTAGACCATAACAAAATCAGTAACACCTCCAAAATCTTTTAAATCTACTGATAATATACATTTAACAATAAACTTTTATCAATTTTCTAAAATCCAGACAGGTACCAGGTACTTGTATAAATTAATAAATTAGTTCCCTAATGTTTCTGCTTGAGATAAAGATTTTGTAATGTATTTTTCAACTATATAAATGGCGTAAGTAAAAATGTTCATTCTCATCCCCCTCCCCTCTTCCCCAAAGCAAGTAAAAGACTTCATCACAATCCTATTTTAAACTTTACTTTTTTTTGTTTTCCAATAATTTGCAACAGATCTTCCACACTCAGAAGTAAAGAATATCATTTGAGTGAAAAAGTCCCATTCCTTTTCTACTGTATAAACTGAATTTCTCTTTCATTCCTTAATAAAGTTTAGCTTCAAGAAGTACAGCTTTCAAAAATAATTGCTCAAGAACATTCTTATGCTCAAGTTGTGACTGCTGGCTTATTTTATTATTTTATTGTATATTGTTTTATTGTATGTACCCTTCTAAGCATGAATTTTTACAGTGATTATTTACAGGAATAGAATATTGATATTTTTTACAGTGAGTATGTCAATACCTGTTGGAAATGCTGCCCAAGCAATAGCAGGTGATGTGGTCTGCTTTTCACCATTTCCAAACTCGTAACTCTCTGCTGCCTGGAAACAAGAAGAAATTGTTACATATTTTAGAAAATGCTATGAATCTCCATAAAATAGTTGAAAATAGTTAAATTTCAAAGCAAAGTTACCCAAACAGCATACCTCAAATCCTCCAAAGTCATCATCATCCATCTTTTAGCAGGGCCTAGAATACAAAAGAAAACTGGATTTTAAAATATTTTCATAACCTCATCTCCCGCTCGCTCAGAAATGAACATTCAGTCCTTCCTTCCAGTCTCATGTCCACAACCTACCTGATGTCTCCATCATTTGTAAATCCTAAAACAGATCAAGGAGCCTAAATAAGAACTTTTTCACACAGAGGATGCAAGGCCAAGGACTGCAAGATCTCACTTAAGAAGTACTTTTTTATTGATGGAGTTAAATACAAAAAATTGAGTATTTTACAACTAAATTTGAATGACTTCAGGGGAAAACAAGCACTGCCCATCAATATAGTCCAATATATTTTGAAAGCAAAAATGCAGGAAAAGCTTTCTCATAGAGTAAAATGGGAAGATGTTACCTAAAAGTTATATCTAAAGATTTCAGGTATACCAAACACGTCCCCAGTTCCTCAACAAATGGTACTACAACCATCAGATAATCTAGTTTGGAGATATATATATATATGTATGTATGTATGTATTAAAAAAAAAAAAAAAGTAAATATTTCTAGGAAATAGGATTTCTCACCACCAGATTACAAAATAATTGGTTGTCTTTGCTAATAAGGAAAATAACCTATCTTAATTCAGTCATGACCTACCATGGACCTTATATAGTTTTGTGTTTATGATTTAAAGCATAAAAAATATTTTCCATTGTTAAGTTGCTTTTCCAAATCAGCACTGTGATTAAATCCAACAAAGACTTCCTGCTTTTTCCATCTCTTCTTAGCTGTCTTGGCAACATCAGAACAAGCTGCAGCTTGGGACAAGCCTGTGGCAAATTTCTGGAAATTTTTCTGCTACCACAGAGGTCCGTCCCTAGGTTTCATGGAGGGGCTGATTAAGATTTTACAAACTGATCAGCACTTTTGACTTGCAGCCCTGAATTCTGTGGCATTTGGATATATTTATAGTTAAACTGCAGTTGCTTTTTAAAAAAGGCCTTAAGTTACTCGGCTAATGAAAGTTACTCAGGATATACAAATCTGTTGAAAGAAAGGTATTGGGTATTAACAAAATATATATACCTATAATTGTGAGATGTAAATTAAGGATGATCCAAAAAAAACTTTATGGTCTTTATAGGATGTGAAAATGTTTATAAAGCTAATTGACTTCAGTTAAAACAGTTTATAGGCTGGATAAACTTTCATTAATGCAGAAAAGGTGGAAAGGGACTATTCACAAGAGAATAGGTTGAGACTGGATGTTAGGAAGAAGTTCTTCCCTGTGAGGGCAGTGAGGCCCTGGCACAGGTTGCCCAAAGCAGCTGTGGCTGCCCTGTCCCTGAAAGTATCCACGGCCAGGCTGGATGGGGCTTGGACCAACCTGGCCTGGTGGAATGTTGTCCCTTCCCTTGGACTGGGTGATCTTCAAGTCCCTTCCAACCCACACCATTCTGTGATTCAATGATAAATCATCACTATCACAGTGTAAGTAGAAATAGTTGTTTAAATTGAAGTATTGTTCAACAGTCTCATGTGGTATAAAAACTAAGTATCTTTTTAGGGACTACGAGGCGTTTTGTTGGTGTTGTGTCAGCTGGGTTTTCTGCAGGTTCATTTTCCAAGAGAAAAAGAAGATAGTTGGATATTTTTTCCATCAGTGTTAAGGTTAATAGGTCAAGCATTCATGCACTCTATCAACATTCAGAGCTTTAATACCTGGCTCAAGAATACAGCACATCTGTGCACAAATGATGGATGGAGATTGTGTGGACAGCACAAGACTGCAGATAGATACAGCACAAATGGAGAATGTCACTGTATTCATGCCACATTCTGGGAAAATCACCCAAACTAGACTGGTGATTGACACAATCACTGCAGAACACAGTGTTCAGGTAGCAGGCAACGCAGACAGCTGGAGAAAGTGAGCCTTTAGAAAAGCAAACAGATATTTTATCTACACGCTCTGTATCACATCAACAAGTCCTACAGGCTCTACACAAAGCTCCTTCAAAGCAGATTTTCTCCACAGTGCATGAGACATTATTCCCATCATCTCAGAACTGGTTATGTCTCAATCAGGGAAAGTATATTCAGCACTGTATTTTAAAAACATAAACTGGAACAAGTTCAGAGGAGTTCAACAGGAATTAAAGCAATTTTGGAACGGCATGCTAAAAAGGAGAGGCTCTAAAAAAAATAAAAACCAAATAAAAATATAAAAAATCATGTTCTAAGAAGTGATTAACTACTTTGATTTCTCTTCAAATACAACACTGACCTGAGGCAGTAAAGACAGAAGGTCCTGTAAAGAAAACATGTAAGGATTTCCACTTCTCCTTCAAGAACATTTATAAGAAACTATGCATAAATAAAAACAGAACTTTTGATAGAGAAAAAGAATGTAGGGCAGAAGAAAAACTGAAGAGCAACTGTTATTGAACCCATCATCTTTTTTATTGCATTTCATATACAGTTTTTAAAGTCTGGTAACAATCCCAGGATTATTCTGACCTAAGATTACCTTTACCCACAAATTTTAAACACAGACATTTTGTGGCTGTAAGAGCATGATTTATGTATTTTTCCACATATCACTCCAATGGAATAAAAGATTAACAAACTCCAAGCAAGTCTCTGTAGTACCAATGGTGTTTTCACACCTAGCTGTTAATCCTCCAATTTCCAGTTTTTCACAAACCCCACAGGAATTCCAGGTGTAGTGGTTTTAAAGCACTAGCTAAAAAAACCAAAACAACACTACTAAAAACTTACTAATTTCTTGCTGTGGGATATGGATTAGGAGAAGGGCAAAACAGGCTTAAAATTTAAAAGGAATAAAAAAAAGTTTATTAACAAAACTGCAAGAACAAGAAAGGAGAATAAAACCTCCAGAAACCCTTTTTCCCCACCACCCAACCATTCCCTCATCTAATTGACAACAGAGAGACAAAACCTGGTGGTTAAAGCAGTCCCAACTATATAGTAGCTTTTTCATCAGTCTTTGTTGAGAAAAAGAAGTTCTCTTTTGTTATTTTATGGAGAGTTCTTCACAAGAAAACTGTTTTCTCATGGCTTTCTATTCCTCTGATGCCAGCTGCCCAGAAAACTCTGCCATCAGTCTTCTCCCATTTCACACCACACTGAGGTGTGTTCATGGGCCATGAACTCAAGGGGTGTAATTTTAAAGATATGTTATTTAAAGGCAAAGGTTCTCTTCATCTGTCTCTGTGATCATTTATGGGAACAAAATTTTCTCTTTTCCTCTTGGGGGCCACAAGTCTTCAGCAACTCTCACTTCTCTTTTTCTGTCCAGCATCTCATAGGATCACAACTACTTCACCATTTACTCAGCTCCATCAATGGATACTTTTGCTCAGATCTACACTTTGAAATACTTCATTTCCCCCAAAATACTCTTTTATGAATTAAAGGAGTTTTTTCAGAACATTATTGTCCATCTCCATAGCTTTAACAAAATAATATTTCAGCTTATTAAAGCATCTCCTTTTTCTCTTCCCATCTGAAGCTTAATTCTTTTTTTCACTAACTCTGATAGTTCATGTAGTCTGTCTACATGTTGATCACTTTCACGTTCTTTTCTCTGGAAAAAATATTAAATCTGCAGGTCTCATCTGGGTAGTGAAACAGTTAAAATCTGGCTCAAACTTCAGCAGGTATACATGGTGTCAGATTCAGCTCAGCAGCACTGGAAAAGCAGCAGACACTGTTTTTTCCAGCCTGCGGCCATCTGTGTGAGCAGTGGAGGCGAGCAGTCACAGCCTGCTCCACCCCAGGGCTGGGGTCCATGGCATAGCACAGCCCCAGCCTGGGAGGAAGGAAAGACCCACAGGCTCCATCCCCCTGCCCAGGAACTGTGGCAGGCCGATCCCAGCCCCTGCTGGACCACATGGCTGGGGAGGGGGGAAACAGGAGCTAGCTGGAATTTTGTTACTTTTCAAAGCCGTAAACTAAGAGAGACAGAAATTCCTGGACTCAGGTGTTAAAGGGTGGTGTTCACAGGTTGATCTCACTTTTCAATGGTCAAAACTACTGTCAATTCTAAGAAATGGCCAAGTATTGGCCAGGAGAAAAAACTCCCATCAGCCTCCAGCAGCCTGAACTTCTGTAAGTGTTTCCTACTTTTTTTTCTCAAATCCAATCTATCACACCAGGCTAAGTGATTCTCCCCCAGGTGAGAGAATTCTAGGTCTGTTTGCTCAGAGAATTCTAGGTCTGTTTGCTCTTTGGGTATGTATAACATGTTTTCATACAAATACATGCACCTTGGTTTCAAAATGAAATCCTGATTTGTTTCAATGCTTTGTTTGCTGTGGACAAAAAAAAAAAAAATCTAAAAATTCCAGAAACTGGCAAACTCAGTGTGTTTCACAAATATACAGGCAGCAGATTAGGAGAGAAAGCGTGGAATAAATCCTTAGGGATGCTAATATAAGACACCTCAAAAACTCAAAAGGATGAGATTCTCTTCAAAGAGTGTTGGTGCAAGAGTTTTTATTAGGATACATCTTTCCCAAAATACGATCTCTTCTTGCATAAAAAGGGAGCCTTCTACAGGGAAAAGGGCTACACTGATGTTATAGGAACTGTTTAGAAAAAGAAATAGGAGACATTCACAGTCCTCAAAGTACACGTGCTTTTAGCTCTAAAAATGTATCAACAATTCATTATAAATTTAACTGATAATGCTGAAAATATGAACAACTACATAATTTCTCAATCCTATCCCTTATTCTCATGATGGAAATGCATTTCTGGTACAAGTAAGTAACAGCAGTAGCATAACACCTCTCCTTAGAACTGCAATGAGCTTGGGAACAAGTTCTTTTAATTAAACATCTATTCCAAAATGGGGAATCAGACTTTTCTTTCCTCATAGGGTAGGAACATTATTTGTGGCACCAGAATAGGAAAGAATACATTAAGTGCTGACAATCTTCAGGATTTGAAAAATAACAGAAAAAGACAAAAAAAACCCACACAGTCTTACCATGACTAAATGTGGT